CCAGCGAAAATTTTTCGTCGTTTAATAATCTGTTGAGTTTAGTTTAATTTTGAACCTATATAAATGTAGGTAGAAAAAATTCAAATGTTGATAAGACAACGAGGGCCAAAAAGTACTGCCTGGGGCCTCCAATTAGGCTTGGTCTCCATAACACCCCCCTCCCCTCCCTTAGTCGACCCTGACTATAGGTAAATATTGCAAATGGTTTTAAGAAAGGATTGATAGTCGTTAGAAACGATTGTAAACATTATCTTCAAATGTGTGTTTATATCTAAAATAGATCAACGTCATTACGAGTTGAGCAGCCTCCACAACCTACATTTGAACTGACATAGTAAGCAGGTAGGTTCGTATATCTGGGGATGTGGGCCCCTCGTTTGATGTCAAATAGTAGAATGGGTGTATGATAGAAACTGGGTTGCGGTAAAGTCACATTTGGCGCTAATGACTGAGAGGTCAGGTCTAATGCTTTAAAATAGGTGAGCAGGGAGGGGATATTATTTCGAAACAGGAAGGAGAGAAGCAGAGAAAATTGCTCACATCGCCTCTTCCCCTGCCACAAAATACGATGGCGGCATCAGCATTGTACTGACCAATGAAAAACAGCCAAACATTCATCCATCGTTTATCTGTCAGTGTCGCGAAACTATTAAAAACAAGTTGGTGGCGAATTGAGCTGAAAGAAACGCTCTCTCTCACACACACACCTGCCCAACATATATATTTAGCATGCACAAGCTACAATTGAGAACTATTCACAGGATTAGCTTCACTGCAGGAGTAATGATCTATAATATTCACTAGTTCTTTTTATGTGCCATGTCCTTTCAGGACGTAAGCGATTATGGCTCTCCACACTTCCCTTTACCCCTTGAAGCTCTCAACAAGTTCCTTCCCTCTGCTTCCTCCCCCAGACCACGTTCTGTCATCCACTTGCTTAAGGCTGCTAGGTATGTCATGCGTTGTTTTCCCTTGTCTCTCTTTCCCTCTATTCGACTCGTGAGTATCAGATTCTCCAGACCCTCCTTCTTCATTATGTGTCCCAGAAACCTCAGCTGCCTCTTCCTGATGTTAAGTGTAAGCCTCCTCCTTGTTTGCATCCTAAGATCTCATCGCTACTAGTTAACATACTAATACACAGTGTACTGTAAAAGTAAAAGTCATTTACATAACTTGGCTCAATATTGCAAGAAATGAGGATATGATATAATATGATATGATATGGTTTTCAAGATTATGATATGATATGATATGATATGGTTTTCAAGATTGGCTTAAAAACCATTGTTCTATACCTATCTATGTTTATACCCGGGTGCAATGGATAAATTGTCGTCTAAATGACGCAAAAATGAAAATAACACTGACATCTCATTTTAACAGATATACTTACCAAAATTACACAAAAATATCTTGAACAACTAAATATTAAATTTATTCAATAAAATCGCCATTGGCTTCAACCACAGCATCCAGATGACTTTTATGGGCGGTCTACTTGTTTAAGTTGTCCTAACCCTTGCCTTCTGTTTATTTTTGGTGTTACAAGGAGTTTTGTTGGTTTCTCACTTAACTACGCCCCACGCATAATGATCAAGGGGGGGTATGCAGTCTGGGGAGTTAGGTGACCAGATCTCAGAGCTGATGTGGTCGCAGAAATTGTCTGACAGCCATGACTGGGTTTTCCTCCTTGTGTAGCATGGTGTAGAATCCTGTTGCCAGATATAGGGTCTTCTAGCAGCCACCCTCTTGACCCAGGACAGCACTACCTCCCTGGCTAGGGACCTGATTGACTTGGAGGGATAGTTTTCAATCTCGGCCTGGATCTAACCAACAAATTTGGGAGCTCTTTTCTTATCAAAACGACCAGAGTGAGCTTTCTCGAGTTGCCGTTCCTTCGTAATCACTATTAGACTCATTCAACTCTTTCCGAATCCTCTTCTCTTTCATTAGATTGACGCCAACACACTCTGAAATGTTTGTATTGGAGCTTCCGGGACGAATACCACGTAGTGCAGCCAGCCGTTTCCAAATTTCTGGCGGTGTGAATAGCGTCATGGTGCTCTTTTTCTCACAGACGGTACCCAACTGACCCTATTATATTGTGCAATCGACAAAATAAAAAAAAACAAAAACAACGCGCATGCGCGAAATTAAAAGTATAAAGTGGCGACAATTTAGCCATTGCCTCCATGTATATCTGTCTATATATCTCAATCTCGTCGTATCTATCTATCGATATCGCTCTTCTCACAAGGTTCATATATATCTAGCTATTAAAAACTGTTAAAATCAATCTATCTATCGATCGATCGTTAATATCTGTGTGGAGAGAGACAAATAGTGTGACAATACTGACATAGAAATCAACAACATATGGTTTCAAGGAAATGTCATTTCTTACGAATCAAAATACACAAAGTTGCTTTTTTTCCGACGAAAGGATCGGCCGTTTGCAGATATAAAAAAAGATGAACACAGAAATCGTATGTTACTGTTCATTGTTCCGGCTAAACAAAGAATAACATCTACTTTGATCATTATTTATGGCTTGTAAATGCAGTTTTCATACATTGTACATACGATACCTGTCTGTCTGTCTGTCTGTCATGATCAAATCATGGCTAAATCATTAAAATCTCGATCCATTAATATATAAATTAATTAGGGTCATTTTATTTTTGAATAGGGAAATCAGTTCTATTTGTGGTCATGTGGCTCCGTCTTTCGATAATGACTAAAAACACGTGTCTTTCTATTTACTCAACGTGAGATGACGTAAATGAAGCTCATCGCAATTTGTCCTTTTTCTCCACACCGTTTTCCTTATACATTACATCAATTATAGTTAAGGTCGAGAGAGAGAGAGAGAGAGAGAGAGAGAGAGAGAGAGAGAGAGAGAGAGAGAGAGAGAGTTTGTTAATCAAAAGGTGGGTAAATGTTGCACGACTGTGTCTTGTGAGAAGGCTAACTTACAGTGGAATATTGAAATAAATTTTTAGTAAAAGAGAAAGACTCAACAGCCAAGATAGTTGAAATAATAAAATGTTGTTTTCTTTTGTTAAGCTCGTTTACCTTAGCCTGGAATGTGTGCTTATTGGTGTATTTTATTTTATACTTAACCATATTTCTGTTTTTTTTTTCTTGTCCATTCCTCACGCCTTACATGACAGAAAATAAAGTTTTCTAGCAATGTGGGAATATTGTGAAAACTTTACTGTTTTTTACTTTTTTATTTTTCCATTGTATTTTTTCCTCTTACTTTTTCTTCTGCATTTTCCCACATCATTTTCCAAGCGGTTAACTTGCAAAGCTGCCGCATTAGATTGTTGGTGTGACGCATACCAATTCATTTAATTTAAATCATCGGGGGAATGTTTAAAGTGTATAATACCAATCAATTGTTTCCTCCTTACATGATATTGTAAATACGGGTTTGATTAAAATGTTCACAGACTGTTTGGTGGTTGTAATATAAACGTTTCCAGCGTAAATACGATATTATTGTGAAAAAAAAGGAAAGATAATTAGGTTTCTCAATTCCGCTGGCTTATACTTAACATCAGAAAGAGGCAGCTGAAGTTCCTGGGACACATAATGAGGAAAGAGGGCCTGGAGAATCTGATACTCACGGGTCGAATAGAGAGAAAGAGAGACAAGGGAAAACAACGCATGGCATACCTGGCGGGCTTAAGCAAGTGGATGACAGAACGTGGTCTGGGGGAGAAAGCAGAGGGAAGGAACTTGCTGAGAACTGCAAGGGGTAGAGAGAGGTGGAGAGCCATAATCGCCTACGCCCTGAAAGGACATCGCACATAAGAAAAAGAAACACAGCTGGCTATATTAATATTAAGATAGTGAAGAACGAACCTGTCCAACCTCCATTTTTGGTCCTGTGCTCTATTTTTCATGTTATTTTATTTCAGGGTAATAAATATTAGCTTCCATTTTATTTTCAATCAAGATTAGTTAAATATTTGGGCAAACATTGACCTTCGATTCCGAGTCTTAAAAGGACGTTTTTTCCCATGACACCGCTTTTATTTTAACTACCTTTATTTTTCATGTTCATTGTTTTAAAAGCGGTTATTAGAATTGTAATAAAACATTAAAATGAATTTGTAGATATATTTTTGTTCTTGAGAATTTACAGCAAAAATATTAAACATTATTTATTTATTAGATTGTTTATTTACAACCCCAGCTCAAATAAACAGTCAAATTTGATAACAGAGCAAGATCATGATGATCCACCTTGAATTAAATTCATCAGATATTCAATTACTAAGCCTACGGAATAGGAGAAAACATGCTCGAGAATTTGTGGGCAAAAATGAAATCTATCAATCAAACCATAAAAAGAACGATATTATCTACACTGCGCTGCCTTATCTATTAATCCGGGTCTGGGCCTGTTGCTCTGCTGAAGGTGTTGCTGATATCTTCTTAATAAATAGGATAATGGACAATAGCAAATGTGTGTCCAGGTTAAGCATGTGGTATTAAGTGGACTTCGATTTACTGGCAGTGTCTTTTATTATCAAGATGAAAATGGTTCAAAGCGGAGTTTTAATCTGTGTAGAACTTAATTGGCAGTAATGAAAATCCTATTGAACAGATGTTCAAATTAGCCATTGATAAGATCACATGTCGTGTAGCAAAAAAATGAATTTCTCTGACACTAGAAAACAAACATTGATTGAATCTGTTGAAAGGCTATAAAACTAAAGAGATATCCAAAGTAAATATTAAACTAATACGTATAATTTCATTAATTTGGGGGACTTGTCTTTATTAGCCAGTAAATTTCATCTTACGTTGATTTCAAGAAATTTTCGTTTTTCAGCGTAAATCTCTTGATATTTTAATTCTTAAAATTTTTAAGTCTTAATATTTTTTTAAACTTAATATTTTTAAATTTTACGTTTAAAATTTTTTTTGTTCAAATAAAATGTAATATTTTGTATAAAGTACTTTCTTTGAGAACATCCTGTTGTAACTTACGGCCATATCATGTTGAAACACTGATTCCCGTACGATCACCGAAGTTAAACAACGTCGAGCCTGGTCAGTACCTTAATTTGTGGCCGCAGTAAGCTTGGATGTGCAGGTGGTGTAATGGATAACGACTCGGAATTGTTAACAGGTAGTCGATTTCCAATTCCAGTTGGGTTCGTTATATTCACTTACTCGCAACTAACCTAGGGAAAGTTATGGATCCCCCTATTCTCTCCCCATCTATGGGTTAATTAGTAAGACTTTTAGCACTGAAACCATCATTATATCAAAATAAATCTTACAATCTGAAATTTTTTTTCTGGCTTTAAATAACCTGCAAGGGGTTGAGAAAACGTAGCAAACAAAATCACCAATCAATCTTTCTATTGTGTAATTTCTACAGAGTACGTTGTATGGGAGATTTTCTAAAGAGTGTTTGCCGTGGAGTATTTTCTATAGAGTACTTATAAGCATTTTAACAAAGCACAAAATTAGTATTTTATGGCCCCAAATTATACAAGGTCATTAAAGATTTAGAGTAAGGGGACTCAAACAATTAACCCGGAAATTATAGCAATTTTAGTTCACCTTTTCAATTTCCTTGTTTGATACTGAACAATATTTTAGAAGCATAGAAGAAAATCTGCTTTTTTTTTCTTTATCTAGCTGTTAGATTTTATTTAAAAATATTTTCCAAAAGAATTAAACCCCAGAACCGAAGAACGTGACAAAATGAATGTCTTGTTATGGTCATTGCTATAAAATTCGTTTTGCGTAATGTTTCTAGATTTAACAATCAAGATCAAGCGATTAGAAGCAAAATGGCCGCATATTATAGAGTGTGTGTGTATGTAATTGTTATTTATACGAAGTCCTACTCACTTGTAATAATAGCACAACCTATTTAGCAATGTGGAAATCACTAGAGCCTGTTGCCTGCTGCCGGTAATAGGAATAAAAAGTAAGGCTCATATGATGTGGAGGAACAAGGGAAAAGGGTGAGTGAAGGTTTTAGAGGAAACACAGTCAAGGTGAGGAGTGGGATTGCTGGTAAAATGTTGTTATTATTATTAATAATAATAATAATAACGATAAGAAGAAGAAGAAATTATTAAGATGAAAACTCAATAAGTTGAAGCCAAACATGGAACAGAAAACAATTCCATGACGGAATTCAGAAGACAATAAAAAGAAAATGAGGATGAAATATCTTTTGAATGGTTGCGCAAAGGACATTTGATAAGCGAAACGAATCTCTTTTAAAATCAGCTTAGAATAAGTATATTAGATTGATTTTTTTTTTTTTTACGACTTATCAACCTTTTGCGGGTTATTCAAAGTCAGGAAGTATTTTGTAGTTTGTAAGAAACTTTTGGAGATTATAATGATTTACTGATACAAATCGTACTTATTAACCTTTAGCTGGGAGGGGTGGGACAGGTGGATTCACACATTGTCCGAGGGTATTTTCTCGTCAGTGATTGTAACGAATTCGAGTGGATTTGGAATTCGATTCTTCGATTTTTCATTCTGAGTCATTATCCATTAACCCCCAACCCAGCACACCCAAGCTTCACTAGGTATTCCCAAGCAATCACCCATCTAGGTACTGATCAGGCTTCACGTTGCTTAATTTCGGTGATCGTGCGAGAAGTGGGGTTGCAACGTGATATGACCGTAAGCCATATTAAATTGAATTATATTAATGTCAAAATCGACAAAACACAGCAAAAGAGCCAATATCGTTTGCATGTAAACATGGAAAAAAGATTATAAGTTATAATGAATGAATGTAACAGTTTAGCTCAGACGGAGTATAAAAGTAGATATGACTGGGCAGGAACGGCGATTTATTAGAATTGTGCAAATGACGTCGACAATTCAAACGATGGTCTGTGCCCAACTTATTCAGGTTCGGAAGCTAAACCATAAAAGAAAGAGAAAATTCTCTCAGATTGCGGAGATTATGAGCAGAAAAAGATGAATAAATATTTGGACTTTCTCAGAGAACTCAAGAAAATTGTTTACTCATGGCTGTAGTCTTCTTGTTTGTGTTGTCACAATGAAAACCAATTAAGATGAATGTACCAAGAATCATGATGGCTGACAATTGGTTCATCTAATAAAAAATAAATTCATGATAATATTAATAAAAACTGGAGCATTGAGTAGATTGGTTGTTGCTTGATTCTAAGTGCATGTCACCAAATATTACCAGTTTAATAATAATAATAATGATAATAATAATAATCAAAGCAAATCGCCCAGGCATTGTGATGAAGCCATTTCTGACCTTAGGTCTTTGGTTGGGACCGGGAAGAAAATGTGTATATAACAGAAAGTCAAGGAAATACTACTACTAATAATTTACTGGTCTGAAGAGTCAGGCGAAAAGATCATAAGAATTGGAAACTCGAAGAACGACAGAATCAACCAGAAACAACTTTATTAGAGTCAGCTATAATACTGAGAAGAGTCCTGGAGTATTGACAAGATTCACTGTCTTTTTGACTCGAGTAAAAATTAGCGCTTACTACTGGTAAAAATTACAAGAATATGGTTCATGAAGACATCAATAATTCCAGATGGGGTTCTGGATTTGATTGTGGAAGGTTCTGGTAAACTCATTGAAGGTATCAATAGTAGCTTTTGTCTAAAGAATAACTACTCCTGAAAAATAAAGTACAACTCACATTTTGCAAAGGGCTTTTTCTTTGTAAAATGTATGTGCATTTTATTTTTTCTCTTTTATACTGAAATGTCTCTGAGCTTAGATCTGTGGTTGAAATCATGAAAGAAAAGAGTATTCAAAATCAAAGGAAAAAGTAACAATAATATTCCTCAAATTAAAAACGATACTGAGGAAAGTTCTGGAATATTTTAGAGATTTTTTTATGATTTTGTTAAAGCCAGCAGATAAATTTAATAATTCGAACGAATTTTTCGAGTGACACAATATTTATATAATTTATTTTCGACATTAAAAAGCTCATGTGTAATAATAATGATAATTTTAATAAAAAGGAATAAAAGACATTGAAAAAATCCCTGGAAATCCCAGCTTAAGATAAATGCAAACAATTGTCTTGATAAGCACAGCGTACTCTGGAAGAAAAACTTTGTCCATTGTAACGCTAGTGATGTTATGGAAATTAGAAAAACAAATCCTGAAATGTAGCCATAACAAAACACTACTACCTGCCTTCGGTCTCCCCGCAGTCTTTGTAGGTAGTATGAACATAGAAATTGAAATATATAATAATAATAATACGAAGGGCTTTATCTATCTAAAATATATGTGATTTTTTTTCCAAAACTGCTCAGTGGAAAATGTTATAATGTTATTTCTGGCATTAGGTCTCTCGTCGTGGCCCGGAAAGAAATGCGTAGACACCAAAAACCAAAGGAAATTAATAATAATAATAATAATAATAATAATAAAAATGTGGCATATGGGAACATCAACAATGCCTGTTGTAGTTGGAGCCCTAGGACTGGTTGGAAAAGATTACAGTAGACTAATTGAAGGGATTCCTGGAAGTCCATGCTTCAAGGAGATACAAAAAATTGTTCTGACAAGTACAGCCCACACTTTACGAAGGGCTTTATCTATGTAATTTTCTTTTTTGTCAGTGGAAAGTGTCATGATGCCATTTCTAACCTTAGGTCTCTGGGCGGGACCCGGAAAGAAATGTGTAAACGCCAGAAATGAAAGAAAATAAAAATAAAAATAATAATAATAATAATAATAATAATAAAACACTTAGAAAAGAGCGCGATTTAATAACGGTAAAAGAAAAAACACAGTGTTTAACAATATTTCGACAATATGCCTGTCTGTAAAAATTGCAAATAAAGGATCATATTTTTATATTTGTATGCAATTTTTGAACATAACTTGAAAAAGGTAGACATATTGTCTTTTCTTTTTCCAAGTCGCAATGGTGTAAAATGTAATTAATAATAATAGTAAATATCACAAATTCTGAAAAATTTTGTTTCTCGACTACGTGAAGTGAATTTAGCTGAAATGCAAAAGATTTTACTCTTAGATACTTCTAAAATACTCAGGAACATTTTATCAACGTGATAGGTTGGTTATGGAATGTTATACTACTGAAATTTACATACATATTTTCATATATTCTCACAAACCTACACCTTTTTCAATGATTTCTTTTTCATAGTTTGAAGGTTTTTCTGTTAGTCCACTGAATTTTATATATACAACATAATTTAAGCTTTCCAGGCATTCCATTTAATCTGCGGGACACATTTTAACTCTACACGCATTTTATCTGTGCATGCACATTTTAATGAAATTTTAAATCGCTATACACAATCATATGACATCAGACAATTAAGAAATAAGATCCTGGAAATGTCAAGGACATAGCCAACTATTTGTACCAATAATCATGATCTACTGACTTAGAGGCACTTGAAGTTTCAGGTTAAAGCTTGGATGTAGCTTGTGAAACAAACAAGCAGACTCAGAACTCAATAAACACAGCAACAACAACAGTAACAATAAGAAGAATGACAGTCGAAAATGACAGTCACAAAATATTATGGGATTTCTTGGTCTAAGCAGATCATATTGAGGCAAAAAAAATCAGGCCTGATTGTTATAGCAGTAGCAACTTCAGTAGGTGTGATGCCCCTTAGACCCTCACGGATTACGTCATTCGTGATCAATCAACCTGGGTTATTCGAGCATCGTTCGTTAAAAGATTGTTATTTTTTACGCATTCCATTATGTACCTTCTAAGTCATCAACTTCACAAGTCTTTATCATATGTTTATCTCGCATTTTTATATTTGGCATAATATGCCAAAATGATGCTTATGTCCTTCCATATTTAATGTTAGATTCAATAAACAAACTTGGAACGTAGCAAGCGTCAGATTATTAATTTTACTGTTTGATACAATAGTGAACACCAAAGAAACTGAAAAGATTGAAAAATACTAGGACTTGAAGAGAGAGATAGTTTAAGGAGTTATGGAACATGATTGTTGAATTAATTCCTGTAGTAATGGGAGCACCTGGAACACCACCTAGAAAATTGAAAAAACGCTTACGAAAACTGGAATTAAGACCAAGATTGTAAACCTCCAGAAAACTAACATCCTTTAATCTGCGAAAATTATCTGAAAAGCTTTTGAGTTATGAAGAGTTTTGATGACGCTATATATCAAGAATAGAATTTCCAATGATTACGTCAATGTTCGACATCACAATAATAATAATAATAATAGAGAAAATTGGTACTTGAGTAAGGATGTTCAAATCATGGTAGGGTCAGTGAGAATATTGGGCAAAGTGCTGAAGATTTAAGGAGACGTGTTGCCAGTCAATCGTCAATGATAGCCATTTGCGTCTGATGTGAACTTTATTTGATCGCTGTCAACCTTAGGAGGCACGGGTGCGTAATGGTTAGCGGATTGAGAAATCGGAGAGTCAAGTTCGAATTCCAGTCGAATTCATTGCACTAACTCACGAGCTGATAGATTCATACATTTCTCAAGGCTATCTCTTTGGCTGGCAACCAGTCGAGTAGAATGAAAAACTCTGAATTCAAACCAGTCTGGAGAGGGATGCGTTCCGCCAAGCTGCCTTGCCCAGGAAACACCACTATAGCTTCAGTAGGTGTGGTGCCCCTTACACCCTCACGGATTACGTAATTCTTGATCGATCAGCCTGTGTTATTCGACAGTGGAGTATCGTCCGTTTAAAAAAATTGTTATTTTTTACGCATTTCATTATGTACGGTAATTTCTAAGTCATCAACTTCACAAGTCTTTATTATATGTTCATGTAGCATTTTTATTTATTTTATTTTGGCGTAATATGCCAAAAAATGGCGCTTATGTCCTTCCATATCTAATCTTAGATTCAATAAACAAACTTGGATTTTTTACTGCACGCTTCGATAACAGTTGTTGCCGTTTAGACGAAAGGGATATTTAGTTACTGTATTTGACGGTGTATAAGACGCACCCCAAATTCAGCAGGGCAAATCAAGAAAAAATTAGTAAAATTATTATTAAATGGTACAGCCTAGGCAATATTTATTTATTTTGGTTAAACAAGCCCTGATTACAATTAAATGAAAAATAATAGGAAAAATGAACACAAGCCTAAAAAAAAATTTATATCCTTTATAGGATCTGCAAAACCTGAGTCTTGTAAATGTCTTATTGGAACAATTAGGATATCAAAATTCTGATTGTAAGGAGTGTTCCAATAACTTGGACCAATTTTAAACCTAATTCACATTTAAAATCGGTCCAAGTTATTGGAACACCCTTTATTTATACTATTGCAACCAGAAGTTATTGCAAGAAAAATATTAATGAAACATATATTTTACAAATATATAATTTGAATTTATTGCATATAATTTTAGTGAAACAAAATACTAATATTAAACGTGATGAAATTATTATAATGAATATTATCAATGATAACACTTTTAATCTGCATAATAGCCTTTTAAATAATGAAAATAGGTATATGAAAGGTACTCTAAAGTCTAAGCTAGTAGGAGTTGCCGGGTTGATAATTTCGGCCGATTATCGCGAATTTTAAACCGACATATAGAATATAAGACGTAGGGGAATTTTAAAAGATATTTTTATTAAAAAAAGAAAAGTGCGCCTTATATGCCGTCAAAT